TTAGAACAATCTACCCATGGACTAAAAGGGTTCAGTTCAAAATTACAACATATCACCTCAAGAAAGCTGGAGCATACAACGGCCAAAATGTTATAAATATGGCAACAGTCCGAACGATGTAAATAGTTACAACAGTCCGAACGATGTAAATAGTTACAATACCTCATCTCATATATATATATATATATATTTATAGACATTTTATTTATGTTCCAACTTGATAACATGATATGTTTTATTTTATATATATATATATATATATATATATATATATATATATATATATATATATATATATATATATATATATATAATTTCTATATATATATAAATATTTTATATATGCATGGTACTTATTGGAAAACGCTCAATATCACTGACGGAGCTAACATATTTAGTTGCAAGGATATGAGTTTGTAACCCTGGGTTTCATGCTTATGTGATCCTCAGACAATATATATATATATATATATATATATATATAAACAGAAGTTGACTTTGCATATTTATTGCTTAAACTGGTCTCACAACTTAGTAATGAGATATGCACTTGTTATGGTAACAGGGGTAGGGTGAGGTATTACTTACCACCATTTGTAGTAAACAGGCCATGTATTGACAGAATATCTCCTTACAAAGTTATGAGAGCAGGTTACTAATATATTACTTATTGTTTGGTTTCATGTTAAAGTTAAAATATTTTTATTTTTAATGATCATCCTTTCTCAACAATAGTGAAATGATAATAGTAAAAACTACAAAATATGGCATAATTTTTTATGTCATGGCTAAACAATTATGAAGAGAAGATTCTACTGGGCATAAAATTGGGGATTGGTTTTCTATTTTTTTAAAGTAATAAACTAATCCCTCAAGAATCATCATGTATTGGAAAAATATATTTAAAGGCTCACATGTGAAAATCAAATAAAACTAAAAATGTAACAAAATATGCCATTATTTTTGATGATATGAATAAAAGAGTTATAGAGAAAATTACTGTATTTTGTCAAAGATGCCAGCCTTTAATTCTTGTATACTAAAAAAATGATTTTCATTGCTCAGCATATGAATCAATTTCAAAAATCATCTGAAACAAATTTTAGGAAAAAAAAAAAATTGAACAACTAATTGGTTAAATTATTAAATTCCATGTTTCATGTTATGAGTTTCAATCATTCTCTGTTCCATGAATGGCATTCATGTTATTATATCAAGACCAGAACTTACCATCACCAGTTTATTACAGAAGCTTATGTCAACTTCTAAACAAAAAGCTCCACCCATGTAAGGTGTTGATGGATGGTGCTAAGTTTTGTCTATTATAAGGTCTTACATTAATAGATTTTTCTTTTTTTTTTCCCTTAACAGCTTATCAACCTTTTGTTGGTTATTTAAAACCACAAAAATATTATTGTATTGTAAGAATTTTTGGCAATAACAATGATTTAGTAATACTACTATTTAATCCATAGCTTGAAGAAGAGGTTAATTCATACCTTTCACAAGGGTATTTGCATTAAGTGAATATAATGAACCTGACTGGAATTGGAACTCTGTTCTCAGATTTCCAATTCTGAGCCATTATCCATTACATTATCCACACATCTAAGCTTACAGCACCTGATATACTGAAGAATCTAGCCACTGATCATGTTTGAGCCTGCTTAACTTTGGTGATCATACAAGAACAATGTGATATGGCCATAAGCCTAGAAGGTCTTAGTATAAAGCAAGGCAATTAAAATAGATCGTTTTTGACCAAGATGGAATGAAGAGAAGATTAATGCTTTGATTTAACCAACAGAAAGTGTGACAATCTTCTGAATGACAACATGTGACAATATTCATTTAAATAAAGTCAGAATATCTAATCATTTGTATAGGAGGATTCTATCTCAGCATCACTATTTCATCACAATTCAGTTAATTTAACATCACCAAATTTTTATTTGTTCATATCATGGAAACACTAAGAAGTTGCAAAAATTTTACAAATATGGAAAATATTAACTCGGCAGTATATGAATATTTTTTGCCTAAAATTCTAGATTCTTGAACAAATGAAAGAATTACCATATATACTCACGTACCATGTGACTTTAGAAGACCTAATTTTAAGGGGGGGGGGTCACATCATAAACAAGATATAAAATTAGCATACATGCTGCTGGCCCTGGTTGTGCCATTAATCAAACCATATATCCATTTACTGTAGTCAAATTAGCTTCAAAATTAGGTCTTCAAATGTTGCATGATACATCAGTATATATAGCAATTTTTCGCAGTGGGTTTTTGTTGTGATGATATAACCCAACTTCCCCATTCACGATAATGGACGGACTGGTTGCCGATTAAGTACGACCACAGCGGGAGTAAGAAGGTCTTCGGTTGTTAACACCTATTGAGCTTAGCATACTTCCGACTCTGTATTAACACACCTACATCCGATTATAAGATTATTATTGAAACCAACACTCGGGTTTACTTTGTTTATTATATCTTGCACGAGATATAACAGTTTTTGTCATAACTAATGATAGGGTTCTTGACAAATTAAAGTTTATTATAGAGGTTGTGCTTAAAAATGTACTCACTTTTTAACTTCCTATAAATTCTTGAATTTTTTTTTTTTTATCCAATGCAGCCTAATAATGGCCAGAGTACAACTAAGTTTTGAAGAAAAAAAGTTTTTCATAAAGTGTTACTGGAAGCACAAAAACATCAAAGAAGTGCAAAGACAATTTAGAAGATAGTTTCATACAGATCAACTAACATGATGCACGATTTTTCACATCAGAGATAAGTTTGAAGCAGATGCAACTGTTCACGGTGTTCATAAGCAACATTAATGAAGACAATAGTCATCTACCAGCCCTGCAAAAGAACAATTACTGAAAACCTCCTACAATCTTCAAAGAAATCTGTACAACAAATGATTTGTGAGAGAGGAATCCTAAAATCAGGCACCCATCACATTTTGAAGCAAGTCCATTGTACACGTTACATTCTAATATTAATCTATGCTTAAATGAAGATGATGCTGACCAGAGGATTGGACTGAGTGAATGGTACCAAAGAAAACTTTTAATCAAAAATTGACTGGAGTAATGAAACCACCTTTAATTAAATTGCACCTACTGAGCTAAAAATTCACATGTTACTATGGGGCACTATTTGAACACCAGGGAATGCAATCACTTCACTCCAATGGACTTCCTTTTTATGAGGTTATCTCAAATATAAGGCTTACTGCACAAAACCAGCATCAATGGATGAGCTGAAAGAGGAAATTGTAAGACAATCCCTCACAGTTCCAGATGAAATGTTTTGTAATGTTGAATAAGCTTGGAAAGTGGTGGTCATCAATTTGAATATTTATAAACATGTATTTAATTTCATTTAATTTAAACTGTTAATCGTCTTTGTAAGTCAATAAATATTAATATTTCTTAATTTTAACCATTAATCTACTGTGCAAATTGTATTTATTGTCATTTAAAGAGGACACCCTTTATTTGAATGGGATTCTGTTCATTCTTAAAAAATGATTACGTTTAAAGCATTCATTTTAAAATATAAATTTTAAGAACAAATTGGAATTTATTCTGCCTATAGTTGATATAATTAACACAATCTCAGATTGTTCATGTCTCAACCTGTTCCTAGAAGATTTAGTTTCACACTGGACTTTCATCACTATTAATAATGTTTATGTTGTCTGCAAAACCATGAATGACATTCTGATGACCAACATTGATAGAAGTCATTTATTTAAAAACTAACAGAATAGCCATAAAAATAACAGGATTATTTACATATGGACTGGTATTTCCATATAGTGTCAAAGTATTGCACCTTAGTCCTCTGCCTAGGATCTGTGTAGCATCTGTGCACTTTACCTAACTTGATATCTGCATGTTAATTTTACTATGGTGTTCAATAAGCATTTTATCCCCAGGTAAAATGCTTGAATCTGAGTTAAAAAAACTCTCTCTCTCTCTCTAAATATATATATATATATAATGTGTGTGTGCGCATGTGTACGACCAATTGTGGCATGACAGAAATCAAAGAAACAGACAGGAAAAGTTTCATTGTTCATTATTTAGAGTGTGTGAGATTTTGAGCATTAATTTCCAGACTGTCTGCCAGATTGCAATTAAGGACCCAAAAGCAATTTATTTCAACCTCTCACTTGCCAGAGAATGCGGATGAGATTATAATATAGAATATAGCTCTTAACAGACGAGCTGTTTTCTGTTGCTGAACAACTGCTATTAGATTGCATGAATCGTCCTCATCGCCCAATTGCATGGCCAGTTGCCATCACTCAATTCCCACCCCTGGTAAACCAGTAAACATTTTAATTTCCCTTCCTCTGCTTTTGCTACCACCACAATGTGCTCTACTCTGACCTCTCTCTCATATACTGTCTCACTGCTGATGCTTCAATAATATCATTCACATAGAAGGGAATATTACCATTCTAATTGCTATGTCTTCTTTCAAAATGGCTACCTTCATTAACACACAGAAGTGTTGAAATTAAGACTACTGAGAGCAAAAGATTTAGAAATCTAACTACTAAATAATATTAAGTATTTCAAAAATGAAATTATATTGAAATATTACAAATTTTAATGTTAAATACAATTCAGTTTGAGAGTGATAGATTTAACAGCATGATACGATTTATATTATAGAAGAATTAGGTTAAGGGTCTCTGGTAGAGACACTCCTGTATACAATACAAAAACCTGATCATAGTTCTCCCAGAATGACTGTTCAATACCTTAGTCAATGATTTCTTTTCAACATGTCTTGTGAAGAAAATAAATGAACCATCATAATAACTGCAAAGAGTAATGAATAAAATAATTATTGTAAAAAAAATTTATCTTTTGCTTTGATATTTGCCTGTGTCAAGGATTGAAGAGAAATCAGATCCAAACTCATTAATGACTAAAGTCGAAGGATGGAATCAGTCTCATGTGACTCTACATCTTGAGAGAAAGGAGAGAGAAAAGAAAGAAGAGAGAGAGGAAAGAGAGAGGAAAGAGAGGAGGAGAGAGGGAAAGAAAGGAGAGGAAAGGAGAAGAGAAAGAAAGGAGAAAGAAAGGAGAGAGGAAAGGAAAGAGAGGAAAGGAAAGGAGAAGGAAAGGAGAAAGGAAAGAGAGGAAAAGGAGAAAGGAGAGAGGAAAGAGAGAGAGGAAAGAAAGAGAGGAAAAAGAGGAAAGCAAAAGAAAGGAGAGGAAAGGAAAGAAAGGAAAGGAGAGAGGAAGAGAAAGCAAAAGAAAGGAGAGAGGAAAAAGGAGAGAGGAAAGCAAAGAAAGGAGAGAGGAAAGCAAAAAGGAGAAAGCAAAAGAGAGGAGGAAAGCAAAAGAAAGGAGAGAGGAAAGCAAAAAGAAAGGAGAGGGAAAGCAAAAGAAAGGAGAGGGGAAAGCAAAAAGAAAGGGGGAAAGAGAGAAAGGAGAGAGGAAAAGAGAGGAGAGGAAAGAGAGAGGAAAGGAAAGAAAGGAGAGAAGAAAGAAAGGAGAGAGGAAAGAGGAAAAGAGAGGAAAGGAGAGAGGAAAGCGAAAGAAAGGAGGAGAGGAGGAAAGGAAAGAAAGGAGAGAGAGGCAAAAGAAAAGAGAGAGGAAAAGGAGAGAGGAAAGGAGAGAGGAAAGCAAAAGAAAGGAGAGAGGAAAGCAAAAGAAAGGAGAGAGGAAAGCAAAAGAAAGGAGAGAGGAAAGCAAAAGAAAGGAGAGAGGAAAGCAAAAGAAAGGAGAGAGGAAAGGAGAGAGGAAAGGAGAGAGGAAAGGAGAGAGGAAAGGAGAGAGGAAAGGAGAGAGGAAAGGAGAAGGAAAAGGAGAGGAATGAAAAAAAAGAAAGGGAGAGAGAAAGAAAGCAAAGGAGGAGAAAGCAAAAGAAAGGAAAGCAAAAGAAAGGAGAGAGGAAAGCAAAAGAAAGGAGAGAGGAAAAAGAGAAAGGAAAGAAAGACTCTTACACATTTATAAGTCTATCATTCAGTCATGCATTGAATATGGCTGCTACATATGATCTGAGCTTTCTGCTATAGATTCATGATGAAATCAGTCTTGTGCTGGCATCTTGGTTTCTGTCAGTTTCCCCAAGCATCATCATGTGGCTTCCCTCTGTCTTTTCTATAAATATTTTCATGACTTCTTGTAATGAGCATTAATCATTGGTACCTTGACCACATGTATTTTAGCATACTACTAAATTGGCAAGTATCATTATTTTACTGTTGAAATAGCTCTATGTAACCAGAAGTTCTATTCTAATAGTTTTTCTCACACTTCTCAACTGTGGAACTCTCTTCCAGTTTCTTGCTTCCCTGTCAACTACAATCTTCAAAAATTTACAGATGTAACATCAATCCCCATTTTCTATCTACCTGAATCTTGTTCTTTTATTGTCCTTTCTCCTCACTAAAGTCTTCTCATTCTCTTTCACTACAAGTAACCCCTTGTGTCTTAATGACATTATCACTTTGCTTGGTGTGAAATTATATAAAAAAAAAATAATTTGAAGAGGCTGTCTAGAAATATTGGTATTTTATTTTTTTCACACACTGACATTTCTACTCATAAAGGCAATGCGTGTTATACATCTTTTTATACAAAATGGGCAAAGCAGAACTTTAATCTGATTTTTTTTTTTCTTTACAAGTTCAAATCTTTTGAAATAGAAATATCAATTGAATATTTGGCCCAAGGATTGATTCCTCTTGTTATTCAGTGTTGGTTCCAAACCTTTCTCCTTGAGACTTTCGTTTTATTCTACCATCTTGACAACTTTCTAAACAAACAGTTTCGGAATCAAACAGCTGCAGAAGAAGCTTTTCATGAATTTATTGACTTCAGGAACAATGTCTTTTACAATAAATACTTAAATGACATTGGTATGCATTGGCATAAAACTTCTGAAACTGTAGATTTCTACTTGAAAAACTTTGCTAAGATTTTTTGTATCAAATAAAAACCCAAGATAAAGCTGATCCCCCCCGAAAGACAACAGAAAACAACATTCCTTTAATTATACACATAATAATGCTTGTATTAATTGCCAACGACTAACAATTATTTTCTTCCTCATTTCTAATGTACAAAAATCAGGTTGACGGCACAAACATGCTGAAAAAATTCAGATGAAAAATTCAGATAAAAAAAAAAAAAAAAAACAGATTTCATTGTTTAATCATCAAATTAATTTTCATTGGTATCAGAATTTATTCATAAAGAAAAATGACTAAACCTAAATAAAGGAGTGGTAGAGTATAAGTAAAGTCAGTGGGCATCAAGGAAACAATTTTTCCTAGTTTCAGTTGCAGTCAATATTAAAATACAATCACTAGAATTTTTTGCAACACCCTAATGTGTATTGAAATACACACAGTATTTAGTATTGTTGAAGTTATCACTGACATTTTTTGTTGATATTTACAAACTATCCTTCATTCAATTTTGCAAACCAATTGATGAAATTTGAATAAACTGATTTGTTTGGAAAGGTACTTTGACAAAACTCTACTTTGCAGTGATTATGCACACTAGTAAAACGACCCGTACTTTGTACCCCACTAACCTGTATGCACTTCTCTCAAAATTTGGGTTTTGATTGATTAATGTATGGCTATTTTAGAGGGTGTGACTAATGGACGGATGGGCTAACAGAAGTCACAAAATTTTATATATAGATAGCTAGCTTCATTTTGTTTTACACTCCTACCAGAATTTTCTGCACTGTGATAGATTCAATTCAGTAGAATAAATAAAAGTACAAATGATAAATTCTAAATCTTACTAATGATACAATTGATTACATAAACAGCTAAAGCTTTACTAATACTGTTAATTTGTAGGATTTAGAATAGTATTTGAACAAAAGTGGAGATGAGATAAAAACTTTTGTCTACATGTGCTAGGTGGGCATCTTCAGGTTGTAAGGAAACTGCATTGGGATTTTTGTGGAAAGATGGCAATGAATTTACCATATCAGATCTGACAACCAGAAAATGCAGAGTAAAGCTATTAATATTGTGTGATTAGAAATTAGCTCACCCTAGGACAATCTCATTTTTTTTCTCTATTTGCTCATTGTGCTATTATTGCTCTTTTTATCGATGATATTATGTACCCGCCTAGTCTGAGGTCTACACTGAGAACTGTGAGATGCATGATTGTGAGTCTAATAATATTGGTTACAAGTGTTGAGAAAAATAGTGAAACTAGAAAAATGGGTCCTCCATGAAATAGAACAATAAAAGAACATTGATTAGTATGCTTGGTGAAAAAGTCATTTTTTAGATGAGATAGTCATTGGTGATGAAAACTAGATTTATTACGAGAATCTAAAAAGAAGATAAAATGTCCTTGGGAAAAGCTGTGGGTCAATTAGTAAGACTTGCATCACTAATCCACTATTCAATAAAAAAAAAAAATTCTTACAATCTAAAAATATTTTCTGACTTTAAATAACCTGCAAAGGGCTGATAGGCTGTAAAAAAAAAACAAATCAATCAATCCGAGGATAATTGAACCTTGTATTTTCTGGTGGAAAGTTGACTGCTAAATCAACATGTGTAGCTCAAATATTAACTCAAAATATCCAGAAAATATTTGTAGTGACTTTATGATGTCCATCTGATATTCTTGCTTTGATCATTAGAGTCTATATGTTGCAATAATTCACTGATGAATATTGTGAAAGATACATCACTCAGCAGCCATAGTGATTGCTGACATTTTAAGTCCTGGTTAGGTAGGGCAGTTACACATGAATATTTTTCCTTATCTCTTCTACCCTCCAAGATCCCATTTCTGTGATACAAGATTCAACTGAAAAGTGATAAAATTCTGGTCCTTACATTAGAACAGATCAGAGTCTTCTAAAACTTTCATATCTTTTGGAAAACATCTTTACACATGACTTCTTCAGTTCCAGAAAAGCTAATGCTTCACTGATCTTCAATGGTTAACATGAGCCTCTAAGACCAGAGACAAGATTTAAAGCTGCAGTTAAGCCATATACATATCTTCCACAAGACCAGACTCCAGATTTAAACCATTGTACATAACTTCCCAAAGGCACCTATGCTTATTTACAAGAATTAGAATTACAAATGAATGAGAGCCTGTGGATGTTTGAAAAGCAGAGAAAGGAATAAAAGCTTCAGTCTGAATAAAATTTGTACTCACATTTTCTTTTGATTATGGATTCACTGGAGAGAAATATGCTCTTCATGTTATCTTTGCAAAGAGGATAAGAATTAAGTTATGTTTTATGCAGCTGTTTAGCCAAAGAATTATTATGGATATCTTAGGCAAGATAGATTTATCAATGAAGATGTTTTGCCTCTCATTTTCATTCACAACACAATTTCACTTAACAAACAACAATTGTAATTTTTTTAATATTCTTACAAGCAATTTACAATGTTTTATTAATAACTTTTGAATTAAGCAATGCTTATTTTATTTATATATATATATATATATATATATATATATATATATATATATATACACACACACATATATATATGGAGAGAGAGAGACATGTTTCATTGAATAATTTAGTCAAGTTTTGTCTAATTATTTTTAATTGGATCCTCTCATATTCAGTCTTCTTTGTATCCTTATTAAAGAAAGAGAGAAGATTACCACATTGATACATTATTTATTCTGACTACTTTATACATTAGAACAAGGTCATCATCAGGGTGTTTTTTGGTTTTTTTTCAAGACAAATATAGTAGTGGTCATCATTTTCAAAGACAAAATTGCTGTGTTCATCTGAAAGTTAAAATTTTTTACTAGTGAAGTGAAGAATGTTGAGTTAAGTACAATTGATGAGTAATGCTTCAGGGGAGGTAACTAAGTTATGATGTGTCAAGAGTTTTTTTTTTAAGAACTATTGGTATAAACCTCAATATTTTAAACTATCTACTGTAAACATTTTCAAACATTTGTGCAGTATTCATAATTAATTTTTATTAAGGTTTGGTTTCAATTTTTTAATATAGATAGCTTAAGGAATATTTAGTTTATTAGTTTCATGGAAAAATATAGATGTTTTTTCAACAAGAATTTTTGTGAACTGCAATTGTGGACAGGAATGCTGTTTAGAAATATCAGAGAGAGAAAAAAAAAAACAAAAAAAAACAAAAGTGGAAAAGCTATAAACAATGTGTTTCACCAAAGGAAGTTTTCTGCATTTGGTTTGTTTAGGTTAAAATGAAAGACAAAACTGTATGTAAGGAAAATGCTTTGGTATCTCTGCAGATAAGAGATTATTATTTACATTGTTTGTACTGTTGTCCTCATCTTTACTGACATATTCACAATGTTTTGACGGTTGTATGCTCCAGTATTCTTCAGGTGATTCGAATTTTAAACTGAAATCTTTATTTTATCCAGCAGGGTAGATTGTTCTAGTTCCACGTGCCATGCCTCTTCCAGATGTCTCAGTTATCTCCCTTTAACTAAACTCTCCAAGGACATATAGCCCAATGGGTAAAAGCATTGGTTGGATCCAATGACTTGACCTAAAAAGTTGTGAGTTCAAGACCTGGCTACTCCAGTGGTGGGCAAAAACTTGTTATATATAGCACAAAAGCAGACAGACACTTTCTTAGTAATAAAACAAACAACAGCAGCTGAAATCAAATTTTTCAAATCTTTTCAATAGAGCTAAGTAAGAAAAGCATCTTTGAACAAATAATATATCAAACCTTGAAGCAGATGCATTACAGCTGCTGCTTGTATCAGATAAGAACCAGAAAATGAGGCTCAAATTTGCTAAGGATCACAAAAATTGGACAACAGAAGTTTGAAAAAATGTTTCCTGCTGTAAGTAAAGTGATGTTTTTATTGATACAATAACACATGTACCTGAAGCTTTAAATGTGCGTGTTTGGGTAGTCGATTGTCTAGTCGATTTTACTTAGTTTCTCCCCCCTTTTTGTTATTAAATATCCCACATTGTG